ACAGGTGTCAAATATCGATTTGACAGTTAGAAAAAATAAATAAATAAGCATTAACCAGTTGCTGACACGCAATCCTTGTCTCTAAACCTTGTCACCTCTCCCTATTTAACTAGCATAATTGTTATAAAAGAGAGATGCTACACAAATAGGGCTGTGGACAGGGTTTTTAAGCAAGGAGATGCGTGTCCAATACTGATTGAACAGTTTGAAAAAAAAAAGTACCAACTAGCTACTGACACGCAGTCTCCATCCCTAAATCCTGTCACCTCCCCCTATTTGACTAGCACAACTATTATAAAAGAGATATGCTGGACAAACAAGGCTGGGGATAGGGCTTTTAGATAGGAGGACACATGTTAAATATCGATTGGACAGTTTGAAAAAAAAAAAAACACCAATCAGCTGCTGACACATAATCCCTTTCACTAAACCTTATCATCTCCCACTATTTGACTAGCATAATTTTTATAAAAGAGATATGCTACACAAACATGGTTGGGGATAGGGTTTTTAAACAGAATGACACGTTCAAATACCGATTGGACAGTTTAAAAAAAAAAAAAAAAAAGTGCACCAACTAGTTGCTAAGCCCCAACCAATTGCCGACACGCCATAAATCCTATCACCTCTCCCTGTTTAACTTGCATAATTGTTATAAAAGAGATATGCTACACAAATAAGCAGTCTTATGGTGGTCTAATGAGAGGTTTGGGAAGACACATGGCCGGTTTCTTTTCACTTTAGGTTTGGGACGGGGAAAAAATTTCCAATGATAATGATTCACTAGACAAATAGATTATGAAGAATTTTGAATTTCAATGGTGACTATATTGTCGGTCGGTGGTGATGTAGAGAGCCGAATTTGGTGAAGTCTGAAAAAATTGATGCTGTAATGGGTCTGTTTCAGTTGGAGACGGCGGATGATTCTCTCTATTTTTATTTATCCTTCACAATTAAAGAGAAGGCTTTTAGGGGCTTTGATTCAAGATTTCAAGGATCAGAGGTAATGGCTCGGATACCAACTTGGATTAGATAGACAGAGTTTTTTTAATACGTTATTTAGAATGAGATTGTACAGTGGTTAATATAGGGACGAACCGTCCAATTGGTTTCCTTCAATTTGACTGCGTAATCTCCTACAATTAGGTAATACTGTCAATCTATAATTTGTGTACACCTAGCAATCTCTAAGAATGGAAAGGTAATTACAACAAATCTTTGACAAAATCTAATCGGTGGTGATGGTACGCGATTGAGGGTGAGGGTGAGGACAACTCGATGAGATAGATGAGTGAATGGGAACATATACTCGACAAACTTTACATGGAGAGAGATAAATTTTGGATGTTGAAAGGATCAAAACAGTAGTATGCAGTTTGCGTTAAAGAATAACCAAAGAAAACACAAGTTTAGAGTGGTAGTCAAACTTATGGTATATATATAGTCATCGCCAAAGGTAACATAGACGACCAAAAATTCGTAGTTTGGCGTAATGAAGAGTAGTTTATATATGCTTTCATATGTAGAGGAGTTGTGTAATGTTGATGTTGGCATGTGATTGATTAAGTAAATCGCAGCGGCAAAGGCAAGACCAGCAAACTAAAGAGAGCGAGGCATGAGATAATAGTGCTACGCTAATTTCAACAATGTAAAGGAGTCATCGTTCAGAGACCATTGTGATCGAGGGTGTGAGATAGTGTGGTTAAACAGGATATACCACTGATTCATAGAAAATAAGGAAGAGAGAGGTACTCGTCACGATTGTTTGAATGTAGATTTTAATATGACCGTCAAAGCGTTTTTCACAATAGCTTTAAATCGAATAAAAATATCTTTAATGTCATATTTTTGTTTGATAGGATAAATCCATATCTATCGTGTACAATGATCAATAAAGATGACACAGTGTTTAAAGCCATAATGTGAAATAATCGTGAAGTCCGCACATCATTGAATATAGTTTTAAATGGGTGAGATGAGACCTAATGTTGAGTTGAAAAAGATAAGTTGTGTCTTTTATTACTTAGACAACCATTACACGAAAAATCAGATGACAAAGATGTAAAAGTTCCAAAGTTATTCGACGAAAAATGCGCTTTGGAATGGAAATTGTCGAATGCCCTTACCTATATAGTCACTTGAAAATGAAAGTTTCTGAAAGTTTCAATTTTTGGAAATTAAAGTTTCTGAAAGCTTCAATTTTTGGAAAGGCAAGCAGTGGGGTGAACGTTGACCACTCAGACTCCATCGTCAGTTTTGTCTGTTTGAAGGGGAGCCCCTTACAGAGTTCTTTTCAAAAAAATGCAGATGGTAAGAGCTCAATTGAAATATTATGATGTTGTCCCTCTACTTTAATTTTGGCATTCCCACCAAAATTTTTGTACCTAAAACAAAATTTTAGTGGAGAACATCATATATGTGGGTTTGTTGAGTTGGCTATCTGACACTTTATCGACTTAATGAGTTTACATTTTAAATTATAATTTGAACTGATCAAATATGCTTTTTATTTATATATTCATATGATTCCCAACTATTGAACACTTATTATTCACACATTCTGTATAATTCAAAATTTATAAATCACTCCTAAGCATGTGTATATACGTACGACAAAGATTTAATAAATTAAACGTGAGAAATGAGAGAACATAGTCGCCTTAATTTTTGTACTACTTATCGAAATCCTCAATCTGTGTCTCATTTTAATCTTGGTGAATGGTGATGATAATTCTTCTTTTCATTCCAGGAATGACTTCCAATTCCCCAAAAGTGTAGTTTTCCACCTACCAACACACGAGTTCTATATATTACTAATATTATTATCATGCCAACTTCTATCTATCTGTACCCTAACCAATTTTTAACTTCTTTTACTGGATACAAATCTCCACACGTGGATTTGCTAGCACGTATAAAAGTACAGATATTTCAGTTACTCCTAGTCAGCTTTCAGAATTTGCATTTCATTCACAGCATACACTAACAAACATTGATCATATGTTTATAGAAAAGCCACGCCATTATATGTAGGGATGGATACAGTTCGATTCGATTCGTTGAAATAATATTTTTTTGAGATCTACTCGAATATCACTACAAGATAAATGACAACAACGAGATTTGAATTGGTTTGAAACTCAAAATTTGGTTGAGACCCACAAGTGCGTCTTCCCACAATGACACATGATGATCCTGTTAATCAAAGAAGTCATTCGCGATTAAACCAAAATTTACACAAACCATTCAAAACAGAAATTTAAATGCAGAAAGTAAAGTGTAAACACAAGGATTTTTCGGCCGAAACCCCAGAGGTTCAGCTTAAAGCCTAATCCCCTGTTGAGCATCCATTATAAAACGGATCTAGCTCGGTTGCACTAAAAACTCAAAATATGGAAGTCAAAAAACAGAAATACAGATCACGAGATAGTCACAGAGACTTATCTTTCTACACGAAGATGATTGAACTATTCTTCTCACAGGAATTACTCAGATCACTCAGATCTGTTACAAACCACTACCGAACTCAAGAATCACTCAGATTCTTGATACTAATCACTCAGAAAAGTTAAGCATTCATACAATCAGTAGTATTACAGTGAGATTACTGTATTTCCTCACTATTATCTCTCAAGGAACCATATCACAGAAGAGAAAACTTGAAGGGTTTTCAAGAAGGAGCGTATAAACTCAAAACCGGCAGAGAGAAACCCTTGAAGAAAAAGTGACGATTCAGCTGAGTGAGAATGAGTCCAATCAGAGTAAATAATATCAGAAGCATCCAGAAGCCTGATCCAACGGCCACCAACATCACACGTGTCATGATCCAGTATAGTGTTGTTATTTAAAAAGGAAAGAAGTGTCAAACTTATTGAACACGCTTTTTGCTTTTAAAAAAACTGTGGAAGCAATATGACCAAAGGTCCAGGGTTCGAACCCAACAGATCCACTTGTTATAAAATAGTACCGCTATATTTAGGGTCCATTTAGTAGGATTGTTATTTTTGCTTTTGTTTCTTGTAGAAAAACTTCATAAAAAAATTATCTTCCAGTTCGTTTCCATTAAATCATCGAAACTCCTTTTTTTTCTCAAATTTGTTTTCAACCACACATTTACACAATAGGATATTTTGCACGTAACTCCAAATTTTTTTCGTACTTTCTAATCTCACATTCTTTATGAAATCACCATTCTAAAACTCATTATCTTAAAATCTCTTTTTAATGAAAGACAAACGAAGGATTAGATCAACTTTCTTTAAAAGCTTTTCTAACTAAACAAAGTACTATAAAAAAATATTCATATGTTCAAAGACAACCTCTTTAATCTTAAAAGAAAGTTTTGATTTTTCAAAGATTCTATCAAACGGCCTGAAATATGTATCAGATTTGCCTAACAATATGCCGACGTACGGAAGTTCCAATATTCCTAGTGAATTTCTTGATAAAATCCACATGGTAAAGTCTGTTGGCAATTGTTAGGTTCTAAACTTCCAACTTCGACCTTTAATTTTTAGACCAATTAAATTCAGATTCAATCAAAATACCTGCAACATTAACATTGTCATATCAACGTTGCAGCCTTGTTTTTATGTTAAGAGTAATTGTGAACAAACATTTCACTTGCAACTTTTTTTCCTTTTTATCATGTACAAACCAACCTTGTTGGGTTTTTGATAAAATCTATCCTAAAGTCGAGATGCTATTGTGCAGCAAATCGAGGGCAATTTGGCTATTTTTTTGGACATCGGCTAGTTCTATTGTACTTCTAACATTAAGGTAAATGGTTATGTAAATATAAACTAAATGAACCTATTTCTTTTTTTGTCGGTTTAAAGTTTCTGCTTTACGTGATTTGACATATGGTACTTGTTCATACATATATTCTAAGTACAACGCTAATCGGTGTCACCATTTATAAAAAAATTTAGAAGTAAAACTTTTGATAGAAATTTAATAGCCCTGATGATGAATTGAAGATATAAAAATGAACAAAAAAATTAGAAGATTCTTATAAAATGCATATATAGCCACAAGAGAAATATCAGGATTAATTAAAACCCTAAATTGCAGATACAATGAATACTTATTTCCATATGATTTAATAAGCATTAATGCTAGTATATACATTCAAACAGCAGCTGCAGCTGCAGCTGCAGCTACAGGCCAATCAATCTGTACTACATAAAGAACCCAGGGTATTAACTTGAGATACAGGCTAAACGACGATGCCCTGTACACAACTGGCAATCTTAACCAGTCTTGATTTCTGCCCTATTTGACGGCGGAGTCGCCATTTTTCAGGGTGCTTGGGCCTCTTTGAGCTCGAACCAGAACCCGTAAACCGCCGTGAAAGGTGGCTGTCAATCCCGGGGAGAACCGGGGAGTAGTGGTTTGCGGAGGTTCTAATTCAATATGGAAACGTTTCAACAATGAAAGTGCAACACTTTTGAGTTCTACAAGTGCGATTTCTTTCCCCAAACACACCCTAATTCCTGCTTGAAAAACTGGGAATTTAAAAGGGTTTTCTTGAAAGAAAACCCCATCTTTTAGCCATCTTTCTGGCTTGAATTCTAAGCAATCTGTGCCCCATAGCTCCTCACTTCTGCCCATTGCATATGGATGATAAGTAACCCTCCTCCCCTTCTTCACCGGCGTCCCATCAGGTAAAACATCGTCCTCTAAGCAGAATTTTGAATCGAATTGTATAGGTGGATACAATCTCATGCTCTCATACATTGCTGCATGCAAATAATGAAGTTCTTTCATTTGTTCATAGCTAGTAATCCCCTTGTTTTGCCCAATAACTCGATCAGCCTCGACTAGAATGGTGGCCTCCACCTCTGGGTGGTTTGCCATTAGCCAGAAAAAGCTCGTCAAGACAGATGCCACTGTGTCCCGGCCGGCCAAGAGGAAGCTAACCACAATATCCCTGAGAAATATTTCATCACTAACAGAAGTCATGAATCTTGAAAGGAGATCTTCTTGATTAGAAAATCCGAATTTTCGCCTTTGATTTATGACCTCTTGGGCTAATTTGTTGATCGTCTTGATTGATTTTCGAAGCTTTTTCTCATTTCCAATGTTTAAAAGCCGTCTAATCTTCCAAATAAGTGGAGAGACAGTCATGGCTCTTTCAGCCGACAGTTTTGATGCTAGGTCGAAAGAAACAGCAAATTTTGATATAGGTAAGGTCAATTCCAAACATTTAGGGTCTAAACCAAATGAAAATCTGCAAATACTATCAAAACAAAATCGTCGAAAAACATCTTGTAAATCTATAAATATATCTTTTTTCCCTTTTACAGATTCTAAAAGAGGTACCAGCCGTTGATCAATCTCATGATGAACAACTTCGAAAGCATATGATCTTATTGATGTTCGACCAAGCTCAAGACTTGCCATTTTTCTCTGAAACCTCCATAAATCTCCATCCACGTTGAATATGCCCCGGCCGAGAAAGTCACCCAAGATTGCAGAAAAGGGTTTCCCTTTTGGAAAATTATCAAACCTTGTTTTGAGCATATATTCAACATTAACAGGATTTGCAGTAATAGTATTATCAAGAACATGAATATGAATAGTCTGAGTAGGAGATTTTTTAAGAAGATAAGTATACCAATCACACAGATTATCAAACTGGCTTTTCCAGCTTGATTTCATGTAAGATTGACAAGTTTCACACTTGCACCAGACCCTCTGTCTTGCAAAGTAGAGGATCAAAAAGATTAACAAAATCGTGATGATCAAGAACCAGCAAAATTCTTCAAAAGACCAAAAAATCCCAGAAACTGCCGACTCCATGGAGGATAAAATAAGATAAAAGATGAAGAACAAAAGAAAATATCAGTCACCAATGGGTGATAAAGAACTTTAATGGTATAAAAAAGAGTGCACGTTAGAAACATGTATGCAAATATAACAGCATTACCATATAAATCAGTAGCCACACAATAAATTATTTTATATTAAATCGAAAAAAAGTACTGATAAAGGATAAAGAAAAGAAAAGAATAGAAACGCATAAGGCGTGGGTAAAGAAGGGAGTTCAGGTAGAAGACGCATATACTGTTGAGTTGAGTAGAGTAGAGTAATACCTGATGCAAATTGTCCTATTATTCTTTACTATGCCAACTACTGTTTGGATAATAGGACCGACACACTTAGCTCTGGTGGGACTACATTTTTCATGCTCAATAAACTTTCTTTCACTAATTAATATATATTTTTTTAGATAAAGAAGTGCTAAAATTGACACAATCTCGAGTCACAAACAAAGATGAACCTAACAAGCCTACTTTCTCACTTTAAATTTTGTGTACTATTAACATGCTCTTTGTCATCACGTTGTGTAAGATTTTTTTGACCCATGATCACTTTTATACTTAGCCCTTGTTTGAGCCCCATTTTGGAAGAACATACATTTTGAAACAATATTTTTTTCTTTAGAACGTGTGGTTAAAAAATAAGAATTTTTTTGATTTAGATACAAAATTATTTCATTGAAAATGTGATTGAAAATAAGTTTTTAATAAAATGAGATTCAAACAAAGGTTTAAAGGACACCAGTAAAGGTCCAAAGCTCACGATATCCTATCCCGCTCAAACTCTCCTTGATCCATACATATACACATCTTGAAGTTCTCTTGTAAGGAAGGATAGTGATCTATTGCATAAGTCTCGGGCAATCAAATGTGAACAAATTCGTAATTGCTTCTTGAATGATTTGTATGAAAATTTGCTTTATTAGAACCTTAACAAATAATGGGTGGCAATATTCTTATTTTACACCATATTATAATGGGTGAATTAAATAAAGAAAACATATTTTTCTCAACTTTCACTACTACACATAACATGATGCACCAATTGAGTGAGAGAGAACACAAAGGTAACTGACTGTTGGTACCCTACTTAGCCCATGTAAGAGAAAAAAAACAAAGGTTAATATTAACTTTATTTTTGTATTCCCAGACATTTGTATAAATCAAGTAAAAAAAGTAATATGGTTGATGAGTTAAATAAAAAAAAAAAAAAAAGATAATCGGCACAGAATATTCTTATCATTTACATATTTTTTTTAAATTATTATATCCATTTATTTTGGTGCTATACACCCTCAAATCAAGCAAATCTTGTGCAAAATAACAGTGTCATCTATTTTTGAGTTAATTGTTCCAATGGTAGCAACTTATATCTATATCTTTAATTATTCACTAAAATTTAAGATGTCAAATTTTGGTCACTAAACTTTAAAAAACATTGAACGTTACTTACTTGTATAATATCCATTTAAAATCTCTAAATGAATTCGTGACGTAGCTAACGGAATGCTCACGTGGTACTTTGTCATGCTGTTAAACTTTGATATGATCAAATTTTGATCACTAAATTTTGGGAAACATTTTCGATTGCTCACTATACTTTGAAAAAAAAAAGGTTTTTATTGCTCACTAAACTTTAAAGTAGTCGAATTTTGGCTACTAAACTTTGAGATGGTCTAATTTTGAACACTAATATTTGAAAAAGGTTTTTTATTGCTCACTGAACTTTTAGATGGTAGAATTTTGACTACTAAACTTTGAGATAGTCGAATTTAATCCACTACACTTTGAATAATGTCTTTTATTGCTCACAATAAATTTGAATTTAATTAAAATTCGTTGTTAAATTTCGGATTAAAATTTGAATTTAATTTAATTTTAACAATAAATTGTGTGTTTGAGCCATACTCTTTTTGAAGAATGTATTTTGAAATAAGAGATTGATGGGGAATGTGTTGTTAAAAAATAAAAAAAATTGATTTGCGTATAATTTTATTTTAATAAAGAATATGTGGTTGAAAATAAGATAGTAAAAAATATATTTTAGAAAAAAAATGAGACCCACAACTTTTCAACCGCACATTTTATTAACTTTTATCTAATTTGCTTAAAATCTTAAACAAGGATTCATTGTGTGTTTCATTGTAAACTTCAAATATTAAAATTTAGATCTAATTTAATTTTAATAACAAAATTATTGTATACTTCGTTGTAGAATTTAAATATTAAAATAGACAACATTTGCAAAACTGTACAAAGAAAGTGACTACCAAATACACAATAATTTTGTTATTAAAATTAAATTAAATCTAAACTTTAATATTTGAATTTTATAACAAAACGCACAATAGTTTAAAGTAAATTCAAATTTTAATAACGAAATTTAATTAAATCCAAAATTATTGTGAGGAATAGAGAACGTTTTCCAAAGTTTAATGCCCAAAATACGACCATCTTAAAGTTTAGTGAGAAATAAAAAAATATTTTTCAAAGTTTAGTGAGCAATTGAAGGCTTTTTTCAAGTTAAGTGACCAAAATTCGACTATCTCAAAGTTTAACGAGTGATGGGGCGCTACGTGTACAGTTCGTCTATCATGTTATCAATTCTATTAGAGGTTTTAAACGAATGTTGTACTAGTGAGTAACGTCCAATATTTTACAAAGTTTAGTGACCAATACTTGACAGCTTAAACTTTAGTGAGCAATTAAAGATATAAATATAAGTTCAGTGACAATTGAAACAATTAACTCTCTATTTTCATCATTAAAGCCATATAAAATGACGAGTACAATTCGAAAGTGGTTTTTCTGTTCTACATATTTTTCATTTTTGAGTCAAATTCAAACATTTTTACTTTTTTTTGAGTCAATTTAATGGGTATTTTCGTTGATTCTTCCATTTTTTTAAAATTTTATTCCGATTTATAAATAGAATTAGGATTCGTTTTGATTCTTTTAATGTGTTATGGGCTTGAAAGTCCTACATTCATTTTTTGATTAATAATAATTTAGTTTTTCTATTATTCAGTGAATTTTAATATTTCTCGTGTTTGTTCGTAAGAAATTCGAGAAACACTCATTTATGCGTTATAAACAAGATGCTTTTATTTAATTCATGCTTTCTTGCGTACACTGAAATTTTCATAGAGAAGGCGGAAAATTTTTGGAGAACCCAATTGTGGGATGGTTGGAAAGATTTTATTTCAACAAAATATGTTTTAAATTATTTTATTTATAATTCATTTTTACTTTTAAAAAAAAATGAGATTATGATTTTATGTAATTATTTATTTATTTATTTCATTTTAAGTTCCTACTTGATAGAAATTAAAATTCAGATTTTAATCTAAGTCAATAATTAATTTTAACTATACATTTTATGGAATCAACAACCTTTCAACCATGCATTGATTAATTTTTATCAAGATTTACTAAAAATTTAACTTTAATCCCCCACCAAGCAAGGGATTAATTAATATAGAAGAGAAATTCATCATTTTAAAAGATTTTAATGGAGAAAATGTACGGCGATGTTTTTTGCACAATTTTTGCTTCGCTTGAGGGTGTATTCCGCCAAAATAAAAAAATTACATATATTTTGTTTAAAACGTGCAAAGCAGATATGACATTTTGTGCCAACTACCCTAAATGGAAATTCCAAACATGTTTAGCTCATGTTTGGTTTAATTAAAAAATTGATAAAAATTTAAGTCAAAATCAATCATTAATATTAATTGCACATTTCATTTCTTATTAAATTTTGAATTTTAAAATTTAATAAGTTTTACACATTCTTATTTATATTAATATTGCATCGCTTTACAAATATATAAACTAATAATTGCTTAAGACATAGTTTTGAGCCTCGACCCAAGGATTTATATGGACAAAGAGATAGGTCGTTAGGTCAATGGTTTAACCACTAACTTGATTGTTGAACGAGTCAACTTCCGTCAAATATTATAATTTTTTAATTATATAACAAAATAGTTATAGTAATTATTATTCACCAAATTAATCTTACATTTTTTTCAACCTTTACTCCAAAAGTCAAGGAGATGTTTCACCAAAAAAAAAAAAAAAAAAAAAAATAATAATAATAATAATAATAATAATAATAAAACTTAGATTTGTTTTTTCTATTTTTTGTACAGTTTTGAACACATTAGCTCAACATTTCAATTTCGTAATATGAAAATGTAATGTGTTCCATATTTACATTTTTGTTATATATGGATTACATGGAAGAATATAATTTAGTAGGGGTGAACAAAAAATTTGTCAATTCATCAAATCAAATCGAAATTACAATTTTGTCAACATTTCAGTTCATAAACTTACAAAACCAATTATAAACTATTCAATTTAGGTTTCAATAATTAAAAAGCATTTGAAACCAAAATAAAATGTTCGCCCAATTTTAAAAAATAACTACTTATTTTGCCTAAAATATATGATTTATTAGTTCAATTTATATTTTAATAAATTAATTTGCTAATCGGCTTCTATTGGCTCTTTAGGGAAATAATTATTTATGACAATATTTTTGAAAGAAATGATTTTAGAAGCTTACCTTTTATTTTGAAGCTCTGTATTATTTTATTTCTTTAAGTTTGTATTGTGATAAATATATTAAAATTATAATATTTATGTTTAGAAGGTTTCAATTTAAATGTTATATGAAAATCTTAGATCAATATATTTATTTTTCACTTGTTTCAAAGATTTTTTTTTTGTTAATAAAATCATGGTTTAAAATAAACAAGAACCACAAAAATGGCGTAGTTCAATTTAGTTTAGAAATGAAATGATATTCGGTTTGATTTTAAAGAAATGGTTTGATTTGGTTTAAAAAAATTCAAAATTTTTTCAATTTTTTGGAATGAAAATAGTTCAAAATTATGTAAACTGAAACTTGTAATCCCTTCAATTTAGAAAGGAAAAAAATGGAGGGTAAAATTTAAAAGAGAAAATTGATGCCCAAAGAGGTAAGCGATTGTTAAAATCCTAAATAAAATTTGAAAAGTTTAGATAATCAATGACCCGTCGGGGCAATGATTTTTTTATGAAAACTCTACAAATTTTTCGATTTTTTACGAGGTTGATCACAAACCAATCTGGTAGATTGACCTTCGCCTGATTGACGGTCAGTTCACGAGTTTTCTAATTAAGCTACCTAGCCGATTTGGAGTTAAAACACTGCCTTAATGTGTATTATATTCAACATATTTGGTT